GCCCTGCTTCCTGGGCTGGGTGCCCTGGGCGGGCGGGCCCCCCCCCTCCCCAGAGGCAGCTCACCTCCTGGTTGAAGCGGCAGTTGATGGTGCACCAGCCGATCTGCATGAGCCCCTGGGAGGAGATGAGCACCTCGTAGAGCCACTTCCCTGCAGAGAGCGGAGTTGGGCCGGCAGGAGACAGACAGCGCTGGCCTCGGGCCTGGGCTGCCGCGTGTCCTCCCTGCTCCCCGGGCCTCCGTAGATGAGGCCTCACCTTTGTACACACACGTGGTGGAGCGAATGGTGCCGAAGTTGCTGTGGCCGATCACCTGGGTGAAGGAGAGGGGTGGCACGCTTCCTCCCGGGCGGACACGGCCCGAGGGAGAAAGGCCTTGTCCCCAGGTGAGCAGCCCTGGTGGCACCTGCGGTTGTGCCAGTGCTGCGCTGGACCTGAACAGGGCGGGAGGGGCTGGGCCTGCGTCAGGAGGGGGTCTGAGCCAGGGTGTGACGGAAGCGCTCGAGGCCATCAGGAGGGCCTGTGGCCCCCTCAGGGCCACACCATGAGGACCTGGGGACATGCAGGGAGGAGCTGGGACCCCACACCTCACCCTCGCTCACCCCTAGGAGGTCGTCGTCTACTAGGAGAAGACCCTCGAAGCCACCCGTGTGGTCCAGGAGCACAGTGGATGGGCCGAGCCGCCCTTCCACCTGTCCTGAAGGGGCAGAGGCACAGGGTCGGCAGGGCCGAGGGCGCAGAGGGTGCACCAGGGCTCCCAGCTTTGCGCCCTGGCCCCCTGCAGAGCTGCCGCGTACCCTGGCTCTCCTCGTCCTCGCCATCCACCTGTAGCAGCTGGTCCAGATGCTCTGGCAAGTTCTGGAAGTTCAGGGGTTTCCTGGGGAGAGTGAGAAGCTGCAGGTGTCCTTGAGTCCTTGAAATCAGGCAGGTGACACACGGAGCCCCTCCCTACCCCTCCCGTCAGGAGGTGCTGTCTAGACTCCAGGGAAAGGGTTGTGCTGGGTCCCGCACTCTGGCTGGGGTCAGAGGCTGGATGGTCCCCTACAAGAGGAACGAGCCAGTGCCCCACAGTGTGCCTCAGGGCTGCCTGGAGGAAGCAGGCCCGGCCCTCGCTGAGCCTCATTCCCTCACCTCTGACAGGGAAGTGGAGTCTGTGGCAGGGATGCGAGGAAGGTCCCTGCACGGCCATGGCCTGCCCGCTGCTGAAGGGGGCTGCAGGGATTCCGGCTGCTGGGAGGAATGCCAGTGCCTGGTCGGAGCCAAGCCCACCCAGTGCAGCCTGGGACTCCAGGCCTGTGGTTCCTCTGGGGACAGGATTCCAGTGTCCTGACCACCTAACTGGGCGGGGGCTAGGAGGTGGGGGCGCACGTCCAATCGGACCTGTCCTGGCAGTGTGAAGGGCTCAGCCCTCGGAGCTGCTAGCTGGCTCTGTCCTGTCCCCACCTGTCTACGAAGGCCCAGCAGGACACGTGTCCCACCTACCCCCAGCTGCGTGAGCAAAGGCGCCGGGGGAGTCTGCATGGTGGCCCCCTCATCTGCAGCCCACAGCCCAGGGAGAAGGGTGCCGTCTAACGCTGGCCAGCTCTGGCCTGAGCTCAGCTGCTAAGAAGAGCAGGGTGAGGAGGTGATAACCTGCAGGGCGTGGGCAGACAGAGGCCCAGTGCCTGCCTGGATCAGGCCCACAGGCTGCTGGCACCTGCCCTCCTAAGCCCAGTTCCTGCCCGACTCATGGGTTGAGACAGTCTTTGGAAGGGACGGAGGTAGGCCAAGCACAGAGCCTCTCCCAAGGCGGCCACGCGTCCCCCGCCTTGGCTACGACAGACCCTGAGCTACAGGATGTGCGACTGCATGGAGGCCGCTCCCCCCTGCTGAGCCCAGCCAGGGGGTGGGGGGCCGTGTGTTCTGCTGGATGCTTATGGGCTGGCAGCATGTCTAATTCAACACAGCCTCCCTTGGCTGGGTGGGCTTCCTCAAAAGCAGTTCTGGGGGGCCAGCAGGTGGCATGGTGGTTAAAGAGGCTGGATTCCCACAAGACTGACCATGGTTTGAGTCCTGGACCTGGCAGGGGCCTTCT